AGGCGAGCCCAAGTAGATCTTGGAGTCAGAGACTGAGGTAGGTGAATGAGACATGTCTGGGGAGATGACTGTTACATGGAAACCTGATACATGCAAAGTATGTGGGGAGAATATTCCAGACGGAAGAAACAGCCTGTGGACAGGCCCTGTGGGAAAAGAGCCTGGGAACCTCCTGGAACTGAATTGTTGGGGAAGTGTGAAACATAAGGGGGAAGAAGGGGGTGGGACAATGCACAAGACTCCAGGGGGTCTGGGACTTTAACCAAAAGCCTTAACTTCTTCCTGCTGGGCCTGTGTTATGTGCCATTATTCCTGGGGAGGTATGAACACACCTACTCACCCCAGACAGGGAGTCAGTGAAAACAGACCAAAGTGTGGACACCACCCTGGTCTAACTTGGTGAACCAATGAATTTTATGGGGGTTACTTACAGGAGCAAGAATGACTCAGCGGCAGCTCCACCACCAAAAGCCCACCGCAGCATGACGGAATGTTCACAAAAGCAAGATAATAGGAGTGCATTGCACAACTGTGTACAGCAGGTCTGATGGGGTGTACTGAGCTCTGCTTCTTCCAGGCTGCTAGGCTGCTGGGAGAATCTTCCAGCAGTTGAGCTCCTCGGATAATGGCTCAGCAATCTTTACAGCTTATATATGCTTGTGGAGAGAGGGGCCCAGTGAATCTGGTCAGTTTCACAGACTTCCTGAAGCTATTTTGAGCTGTGGGCTTCCTGTCTTAATGAGTTTCCCTGCAGGATAGAGTGTTGCACCTCCCCTTAGAACAAACATCCTCTTGTTTCACCTCCCTGTAAACATCTTAATGAGCTTTCCCTCCAAGATGGTTTTCAGCTTGGAGGGAAGTACAACACAGCAGCTGGACCTGAAAGAACCTGGCTGCCATAGACCATAGGCCATCAGACTTGACAATGGTCAGTCTGGTGCCAAACCCTGACCCACTCTGCTAGATCAGTTCACATAAGCACACTGGAGAATGTGCCCCAGTACCCTTCCCCCCAGGAGTAAGGGCATCAAATATCAACCCAATGTGGGTGCATGGGCAGCAACTACCATCTGGGCTGGAATGAGGGCCCAGCCTGGCAAGGGCCTGGCAAGATGCAGAGTAAATCTCTGTGTACCATTCTGTGAGGGAGCTTCCATTCCCTTCTCTATAAAGACTACAGCTCACTGGCTTCAGCTCCCCCCTACGCCTGCATAGAGCAGATAACCAGTAGTTAACAGAAGTTCATGTGAGAGGGACTAAAGAAAGTGCCTATCTCCTGTCCAACTGAGGGACACCATGACCAAAAAAAAAAAAAAAACAAAAAAAAAAAGATAGAAATTTCAATGAAGAGTTCATATTTCACTTGGACACATTTTCGCTGTATAACCTAGGGCAGCTGATGACCTCCCTGGTCTTTGTAGCCTTATCTATAAAGGGAGGGGATGAATGAGATGATCTTCTAGATGACTCCATCCTTCTCCTCTATTGCTCAGGGCAGGGATGGGGTCGGGGGTCTCTGCCTTTATCAAGTCACTTGGCACAGCACTGTGTGGCAGGGCTAGGATCTGGGCTGACTTCAGGAGGTGATGACAGCACATTCTATCTTGAGCCCAATATTCTAAAGGTCAAGGGCTAAATGGTGGAGGAAAAAGAAGTTAATTGGGGCAGCTGGGATGTGCAATAATTAGACACTAAGCTGAAATTTACTTTTACCAACAAATCTCACCATGTGGATAGGCCAAGTGTAAGTATGGGCAGTTTTGGAGACTTGGTGTATATAGAGTATCTACATAAATTAAGGAAAAGAAGGGAGAGCTTTGTTGAAACACTCGGGAAGTCATTCCTGAGGTAGTCAACCCCTTGCGATGGGTGTGCTCACTGTAAAATACTCTGCTCTTTACTGTGGTCTTACAAGCATCTCTCCAGGGGACAGGTTCATTAGCAGAGTCCAATCACTATGTGCAACAGTGACGAGAAAGTTCAGTTCTTAGAGAAACTTTTTGCTTTGGACTGTGTCATTCCAGCTGTTCTCTCCCACCATGAAGCTGAGAAAACAACCTGGTCCTCCTGAAAAAGAACAACTAGTCATCAATTTGGAGCTGTTCTGTATAATGGGGAAGATGCAGGCTCTGCTGTTCTAGGTCTTCTTTGCAGATGCTAAAGGCAGGCAGTAGGTCCTAGGTTTGTACAACCACTCTGTTCCTTGCACACTGTAGGCACACACACACACACACACACACACACACACACACACACGAATAATGACTGATTAAAAACAAGCAAAGTGGAAAAGAGACGAAGGTGCTTCTGATGATCCAGACTCTTGTGTTCCTTTTGGGACAACACACCCAGGGAGAGACATAGATTTGAGTTCCGGCTTCTCTTGTTACTAGTTGTGAAACTTAAATTGGCCCTTGGTTTCCATCTTTGCACAATGGGAGCTGCAATACCCATCCATGGTCATGGCTGTGAAGGCCAAATGCAGTAATGAGTCAAAGTCCAACACAGTGACGGACACATGGTGCCCTGTGTCTTCCTTTCATGTGGCCCTTAAGAGCTATACAAGAAAGGCAGTCCCTAGGCACTTGCTCTCAGCCTGGCCCTGAATGAATGGCAGGGAGCCAAAGGGAAGTGGCCTACACCCATATCTTAGTGGCTGCAGGAATCCAATCCAGTCAGCATGGCTTTCTTCCAGCCAATCTTGCCAGATGTATTTGGCTTTAGCTTGAGGTTGCAAAGTGGTTATATAACCAAAGAAAGAAAGAAAAGAAATGAAGAAGAAGAAAAAAGAAAGCTTGGAGTTTTTAGAGCATTTTTGTATGGTCTCATTTGATCTTCTCAGTGACCTTGAAAAGCAGCAGAGGCCTCGACTAGAAACCCCACTTTACAGACAGAGGAACCGTGTCTTAAAGGGTTTATTTGGTTCATTCAATACAAAACTACTGAGGGACAACGTGAAAACTTGGGCAGAGATCTCTTATCCCTTGCCCTGGACTTTTTCCACATGACATCTTTATGATCATGCTTTATGATCAGGCAAAAATAGAGCAAGCCCATGTTGTATGCCAGCTAAGTGCTCAGCAGGGAAAGGCAGAGCCAAGTTCAGGAGAGGTGTGTTCAGTATGATGAGAGCTATGGGGAAGACACAAGGAGAGGCAAGAAAGAAGGGTCACCCAGTCTGGAAGTCTTCCTCACTGATCCAGCCTTGGAGACAATGAGAGGTTGTCCAGACAGAGAAGAATGAGCAGCATTACAGGTTGCAGGAACAGCAAGTGGAAAGCCAGAAGCAGGTAGACCAGCAGAATATACTCCAGTGCTACAGATTTATTGGTCTGACTCTACCACCACTCTCTCATCCATCCACTCATTCCACATATATTTATGGTGTCTATGTGCCAGACACTGTGTGAGCTACTGGGGGAAGATGCATGAGTGTGCAAGCAGATGTTGTCCCCAAGACCATAAACTTGACCATCTCATGACACCTACAGACTCAGGCAGGCAGGAAGAAGGCAGAAAGTGGCAGGTATGTGAAGAGCACATCATAGAAGGCCAGGTTAAGAGGTTGTAGATTTTAACCTGAAAGAGATGACCAGCCTTGATAGATTTTTAGGAAAGGATCAACACAATAAGGTTTCAGTTTCAGAAAGATAAGCTTATAAGGTGGCTATAGAGAGCTATCTGGAACTCCAAGAGCCAGCTAGGAAAACAGAGCAGCAGTGACAAGAAAGGACAGTACTAAAGTCCAGCAGGATAAAGAGAACAGCTAAGCTCGAGGCAGATATGGGTAAGGGCATGGATGAACCTTGCTGGCTGCTTATATATGGGATAAGGTAAAGAAAGACAGGCTAGTGAGACTGGGGCATCTAGCTTGAGCCTCTTGACAAGTAGATGCTATTCCCCTGATGATGGATGTGCTTCTCTGTATATGTTTCTCTTATTGGTTGATGAATAAAACACTGTTTGGCCAATAGAGGCAGGAAGATAGACGGGACTAGGAGACAAGGAGAATTCTGGGAAAGGTAGGCAGAGAGGCACACGAGGAGATGCCATGTCGAGACCACGAATATTGGACTCACTAGGCATTCTCTGGTAAGATAAGGCCATGTGGAAATACATTGATTAATAGTTATGGGTTAATAATTAAGACAGAACTAGCCAATAAGAAACCCTAGTTTGGGGCTAAAGCAGTTGTGAGGCCTGACAGGAAAGAAAACTCCAGCAATATTCCACATCATGGGAATTCTGGGAACTGTTGGTTGAGGTGATATGTGGCTTATCCTGGGGAGAGGCAAACAAATGACTATTCACTCAGCTGTGGCACTGACAACAAAGAAAGGTTCCGCCCATGTTAGCCTAGTGAACCAGCTTGCCTTGTGACTCTTGTGAGCTGCAGAAACTTCTTGTAATTTGTGAGTTTTGTTTACTTCCTGTGCCTTGTAAGTTTCATTGCTTCCTGACTCTTAATGCACCTCTCTCCAGCCTTCAGGGAAAAAAAAAATGTTTCTGATACAGAAGAAAGAGCAACATTTTAAGTAGAATATTGGAGCAAGTCCTGTGCCTTCCAGAACAGGCTGAGTGCAGGGCATCTGTGAGACATCAGGAAGGTGTTTATCAGAAGTGGTATCATTGTATCTACAGCCCAGAAAGGAGCTGAAAGCTGGGGGTATGGCTTAGAGGATCAAGAGTTTCAAGATGATGTTTAATGCTTGGAAGTGGGTGGCATTTTCAAGGGAGAGTAGTACCCAGGAGGAGATGAGGTCAGATACCATTCAGCAAGCCCCAGGGGGTGCCCATGTTTCTTTTTTGTTACCAAAATCCTACTTAGCAAACATCCAGCCATCAGACAAGGAATCATTGGAGAAATCTTTGGTACAAGGGGGTTAAGATTAATGGGCTGTAGGGACTCTGGCCTGCTGTGGGGTTTCTAGGGTCTTGCCCATCTCTGGAGCTCAATCTGATGTCACCATGTGCTTTTCTCTTTTTCTTCTCTCCTTCAGGTGTTTACAAAATATGGGAAGTGTTACATGTTTAACTCAGGCGAGGATGGCAAGCCTCTGCTCACCACAGTCAAGGGGGGGACGGGCAACGGGCTGGAGATCATGCTGGACATTCAGCAAGATGAGTACCTGCCCATCTGGGGAGAGACAGGTGAGCTGGGCCCAGAGACTTTGGCACCGGGTGGTGGTGAGGGATGCAGGTTTCCCTCAGAAAGACTGGTGTGAGCCAGGTGGGCTGATCTCAAGCAAGGGGTAGGTACGTACTGACAGATGGTAAGACTATCCCTGGTATGGTTATGCCCCTGGTTCACTCAAATTCCTCCAGGTTAAGGGGCAAAGGATGTGAGTATTAGGGAGGGAAAGGAGGTACAGAAGAAGGTTCAAGGGGACTGATATGTTCAGGTGGGTGAGTGGCTTGATTTGGGGAGAAGAGAGTGGAATAGAACAACATTTTCCTCCCTGAACCATCCCAAATACCAGATATATCCATGAAGTCCAACTAAAGGATATTGGGATATGCCTGAGGACAAGTGGAGGAGGCTATGAGGTACTGGAAAAATCAATGGACATGGATATTGGAAAATCAATGGACATGGACCTGGGGACATGGCACCATGCCCATGTAAGGCCCTGGAGTTCTGAGTGTGCCTAGCACAAGCATTCATTCTTTTTATTCTGTAATTTATCAATAGAAAACAAAGTAAGAATGTTATGGTATGTCTTAGGGTTTCTGTTGCTGTGAAGAGATGCAATGACCACAGCAACTCTTATAAGGAAAACATTTAATTGGGATTGGCTTACAGTTCAGAGGTTAGTCTATTGTCATCATAATAGGAAGCATGGCAGTGTGCAGTCAGACATGGTGCTGGACAGGTACCTGAGAGTTCTACATCTGAATAGGTAGGCAACAGGAAAAGCAAGTGAACCACTGGGCCTAGCATGAGCTTCTAAAATCTCCAGGCCTACCTCCAGTGAAACACTTTCTCCAAAAAGGCCACATCTAATCCAAAAGGCCACACTTCCTAATAATGCCATTCCCTATTGGCCTATGGGGTCCATTTTCATTCAAACCACCACATGGTGAGGATGGGAGGAGACTAAGTCATTGATCACAACCTAGTAAAAGGAAGAAAAGCACTATGTTAGAAGTAGAGACACAGAAAAATGGTCTGGATACACAGGGTATTTTTGAATGGGGTCTTGAGATTGTCCTGAATTATCGAGTGAGACTAATGTCATCAAAAAGGTGTCTATCGGAAGATCAGGAAGAGGAGAAGGAAATGTAATGTAGCCATAAGCCAAAGAATACAGAAGGTTTCTAGAATTTCACCTGAAAGAGACTATCAAGATATGTCCAAGAGTAAGAGCCAGAGATGTAAATAGGATCCATATAGTAGTAATGTGCACAGGGAACAGCAGGGAGTGTCTTAGTCAGTGTTCTATTGCTGTGAAGAGACACCATGACCATGGCAACTCTTATAAAAGAAAGCACTTAACTGGGGCTGGTTTACCATTTCAGAGGTTTAGTCCATTGACATCATGGTAAGAAACATGGCAGCATGCAAGCAGACATGTACTGGAAAGGTAACTGAGAGTTCTCCATCTGGGTCTTTCGGCAGCAGGAAGAGAGTAAGAGAGCCTCTGGGCCTACCTCTTGCTTCTGAAACCTCAAAGTCTACCCCCAGTGACATGCTTCTTCCAACAAGACCACACCTACCCCAACAAGGCCACACCGTCTAATTATTTTACTTGGTGACCAATTATTCAAATATATGAGTATATGGGGGGGCATTCTTATTTAAAACCACCACATTCTATTCTCTTGCTCATATAGGCTTGTAACCATTCATAATGCAAAAAAAAAAAAAAATGTAGTCAGTCCAACTTCAAAAGTCCCCATGGTCTATCACAGTCTCATCACTTTTCAAATTCCAAAGTTCAAAGACTCAAGGAAACCCCTTACTGTAGCCCCTATAAAATCAAAATCAAAAAGCAGATCACATACTTCCAACATACAATGGCACAGGATATATATTACCATTCCAAAAGGGAGGAAAGAGGCAAAGTGAGAAGGAAATGCCGGGCCAAACAAAGTCTGAAAACCAACTGAGCAAACTCCAAACTGTGTATCTCCATGTCTGATGTCAAAGGGCTCTTCAGATCTCCAACTCCTCTCAGCTTTGTTGACTGCAACACACTTTTCTCTCTTGGGCTGGTTCCATATCTAGTCTGCAGCTCTCAGCAAGTATCCCACGCCTCTGGCATCTCCAGCATCTTGGGGTTTCCAACACAATCCAGGACTCACTTTGAGGTCTCTAACACAATTCAGGCTTCACCTTCACAGCTTCATAAAATGACCTCTCTAGGCCTCCATTCAGGAATATCCCTGCCACATACCCAGCCTCAGCAGCTTTCTTTAGCCATGGAGAGAGATTCTACAACATCTTTCTTCTATCCTTGACTCTAAAGACAGAAATGTGTGGCTAAAGCTGCCAAGTTCTGTTTCTTTGCTGGGGGTTTGAATTTGGTCCACTCATTCAAATACATTTTCATAGGCTTTCTGTTTTCTGTGGTTTCCTTCACTGCTTAAGTTTTTCTTTAATTCCTTTTCACAAGTTAGAAGCTTAGGTGGGTGGGGTCTTGCCCTGGGGCCACCACTCCCTTTATTCAATTTAACATTAGGCTCTCTTTAAACTTTTTATCTCTTTGATAATTGGACTTGACTCCATCACACTTCCTGGTGCTTCTTTTCTCCTCAAACTGTACATTTCATATTTTTCCTTTCTCATCTTGTTCCTTTTCATTATAATTTGCGTAAGAGTGGCCACGAATAACTACATGACACAGTTAATAGTAGGCTGTCTTGAAATCTCCTCTGCCAACACCATTAATCAAAAATTCTTCTATTTTGCCTCACGCAGATTTTCTGGACAAGGTAAAAAAGCAGCCACATTCTTTGCGAAAATATTACAGTAATGGTCTCTGGGCCACTTCCTTATATTCTCCCCCACTTAAACTTCTTGAGGCTGGCCCCCATAGTTCAAATTGCCCTCAGCACTGTCTTCTATGTTCCTAGTAGTATGGCCTATGAAGCCCCACTTAAAGTGTTCAACTGTTTTCCTAATCCAAAGTCCTAAAATCTATATTCCACCAACAAACAGCACGGTCAAGCCTATCACAACAATACCCCCTCTCCCCAGTATTAACTTCTTTCTTAGTCACTGTTCTATTGATGTGAAAAGATACCATGACCATAGCAACTCTTATAAAGGAAAGCATTTAATTGGGGCTGTCATACAGTTTCATAGGTTTAGTCCATTGTCAATACAGCTGGAAGCTTAGCATCATGCAGGCAGACATGGTGCTGAAGAAGGAGCTGAGAGTTACACATCCAGATTAGCAGGCAGCAGGAAGACAGAGCCACTAGTGACTCACTTCTTCCAACAAGCCCATACCTTCTAATCCTTCTAAGTAGTACCACTCCCTGATGACTGAGCATTCAAATATATGAGCCTATAAGGGCCATTCTTATGCAAATCACCACAGGGAGGGTTGCTGAGAGAGTGAGATAAGCCTACAGAGACCAGTGGAGAAGAGTGAGTATAAATCCAGCAGAAGGGCCTTCAGACTGGAGCTGAGGAAGAGAAGCCAGACAGCCCTGACTCTATATTTTGCTGTCCCACCCTATGCTTACTCTCCCTGAAGAAGAGCCTGAAGTCTGGCCTTCCATGGCCCTGACTTCTAGCTGCCAAGGAAGGAGGCTTTCTACCCTGAAGATGACCAGCTACAATGACAAGGACTCTCCTACAACAGAACTGTGCCCTTTTCCCCAACACCTCTCATCTGAGTACCCAGATGGAGAGAGGTGACAGTGGCCATTGACCCCCACATGATGGGTATTTCTCATTTGCTTCAGCTGAGAAGTAAAATCTCCCTATCCCATGTGCAGCAGGATTAAAGTCTGTATTCCCACTTAGCTCTGTCATCCCTTAGAGCTGGTCATCTGGACCGGTATTTTCAGAGGTCTATATCAACAGTCCTGCCACAACTACCAGAAACAGCCTTCCTGACCTACCAAGCAACATGGCCACACAGATGCCATCTTTCTTCCATTGAATGCATTATGCCTCAATTCCTGAAGGGAGGATCCCAGGTCCCTATAGGAAATATTTGGATGAGGATGGAAGAGAAAAGAAATATGGCTGTTGGGTGAGTGACCACAGATGGCTTGATGATCCAGGCAGTGTAATAGAACAGAGAAAATAGCATAACAGGGTGATTCAGATCCAAGGCCAAGTCTAGCTCTTCCATTTCTAGCTATGTGTCTTAAAGCAAATAGAGGAACTTTGGTTTCCTCATCTGTAAAGCAGAGGTCAGTAAAAACTGAGATTCATTGGCTGTTCATGATGGCTCAGGGGCTCAGAGGGGAGCACTCCTCACACTCCACATGAAAGGACAATCCAGAGATCTCACAACTTCACAGGGCTCCTGGATGCCCCTGATATCAGAAAGCCCCCTCCTGCTGGAAGAGCATCTTTGAGACTCTGGTTTTGTGGACAGCTTCACTCTCAGAAAGTGAAAGAAGCAAAGACAGAACCAGGGCCCTCTTCTGGATGCAGTTCCAGCTAATGGGAGGACACTAGTTTGACAGACCACTGTGGTCTCATGCTTAGTAAATAGAAGGTAACTCCATGAAAATGATCACAAATGCCCCTTCCACCAGGCTGCTAATGACCCACATTAAGGAGCCCTGGGCATCAAACATCTCTAAGTAGAGCACCCTGGCAATCTCCCATTTTGATGTTGCATGTGACCCTAGACAGGGTGCCCCAAAGTGGGTCTTGTGGAGCATCAGAAGTTTTTGAAACTTGATATGTTCCACAAATAAAAAGGATCTTGGGCCAGAAAAAGAATCTAGGAAGCCCTGGTTAGACCATGTAATACACCTTTATTCATTGCAGGAATTCTTTAATATGCTATATCATGAATCTCCAAGACAGATATATTGTACACAGCATTTATTTTATAAATGCCTTTGGCCATGGAAACCTCCTTTTCCATAAAGGAGCTCACAAAATATACTTCTGGAGAAAGCCATCCTAGACCAGAGAAGTACTGATTTCACGGCCAGAGTTTTCTAAAGGAAATTAA